TGAAGGAAGTGCTCACAGTGCCCAGAGACCATAAGCTGTGCCCCCAACTGTTCTGCTGCAACTCTTTCTCATTAAGATTCATTGGTAGAAGCCATTGTTTCCAACCACTGCTTGATTCTCTTTTGAGTGGTTTCAGCAAGAAGGAAAATTATTTGCTTCCTATTAAAAAAAAAAAAAAACAGAAATAACCACAGCAAACCTTTATCCATTGCTTCTTCATAGCAAGCATCACAGTTTCTGGGCTAATATAAATTTCTACGAAAGCAATCATGTGACCCTACTGGGATCTATTTTACTCTCCAACTGAGAATGGGGGAAAAAGTTGTTTCCAAATGTATTAGTATTAATCAACAATTTATCAAAAACTTCTGTTTGGATATTGTTAGTGGTGTCTTGCTGTTTTATTTGTAAAGTCTTGGCTCTTTCAGGTCAGAGCAAAAGGTCTCCAAAACATCTAATTAAATTTGCACCAAAGATATTTTCTCTGTTCTAATAAAAAGTGAATTACATACAATTAGGTGGTTAAATTATTAATAAATTTATTTAATTGGAATTTTCTTATGTGTGTGTTTATGTGAATGCCTGTATTTGTGTTTGTATGTCTGTGAGTATATGCTCTCTCTCTGTCTCTCTGTCTCTCTCTCTGTCTCTCTGTCTCTGTCTCTGTCTCTCTCTCTCTCTCTGTGTGTGTGTGTGTGTGTGTGTGTGTGTGTGTGTGTGTGTGTCTACCAACAGAAGGTAGAAGAAAGTGTGTGGGACCCTGTATAGGATCTCCTGGAGCTGGAGTTCCACATGGTTGTGAGCTGCCCAATGTGGGCACTAAGAACGGATCTTGAACCCTCTGGAGAGCAGCCACTGCTTTTAACCTCTGAGCCATCTCTCCAGCCTTAGTGAGAACATTAAAATTGGAATTTATAGTTAAATTGAGTTTTCCTAGGGCATAGAAATGAACCATAGTTGTAAAATACTGAGAGTGGTGTTTACTAAGATGACCAGGGAAGTTTAAAAGGAAAGAAGAGATAAATATTGGCAAATGTACAGGTGGAGCATTGTAACTCTTGTACTGTCAATGGGATGGGAAGCAGTTCAGGCAGTGTGGAAGCCCTCAGCAGCTCTTCCACTAGCGACAAAGTCAACTGTGATGCAGCAATTCTACCCCTATGTTTAAACCCAGAGGACGTGAAAGCAGGCACTCATCTGACCTGCAGATGTTCCGTAGGACATGTACATGGTACCAAAAGATGGGGTCAGCCAGTGTCTGTCAGTGGACATCAGAGTGACCCAAGCAGGAAACATTGGGACCTGACTCAGCGTGCAGCTGGGGTTTGGGGTGAGAAAGTATGTCATGCGGTTCTCCATACAAAATGTCCAGGGTAGGAAAATCTTCAGATGGAGAAGGGGCTGGGGTGGAGGGTGTCTGTGTTCTGGACACAGGATTCTTTCCAGTGTGACAGCGATGTCCTGGAGCCAGAGAGGATGGAGGCAGCAGAGTGCTGTGGTCGCCCAACATCAGGAATGCAGTAAATGCCACTGACCTGAACTGGAAAATGGCTAAAGGGAGAGTTTTTATGTACCCTTCAGTGGTGCCACAGTCATATTTATTTTGCTTAGGTTTTGAGGATTCAATATTCACAGAAACAAAGGTCCAGAGTAAACTAACAAGGTCCCTAAATAAGAGAGCTGTTTATTTCCTAAAATAATAAGTATAAAGAATAAAAAACAATAAGATAAATTTAACACCAGTCTATGAAACTTGGATAAAAAAATATTTCTATTCTGTTCTTTCAAAATTGACTGAGAATTTAGGTTTGAGAAAATATAATATTCAAGGTGTGTAAAATTTTGATTTCTGTGTGGCTGTGTACATCAGGGGCATAATTGTTTAAAACCAGGGGAAGAATACAAGGAGATGCTGCCATTTTGGACTGCAAATCCCCCACCGAATATGCCATGGGAGGATGGACCTCCCTGGTGGAGACCTTGAACAGACTTAGAAGCCAATGTCTGGAGTGAGGCATGGTAGGCAGGTAGGCGACCTTGGCCATCAGGGGGTGGTAGGTATCTGACACTTTCGTTCTTGTCTCCTATGACAAACTAGCCTGGGACATGCCAGCCATGAACTTGGAATGAGCATCCCATTACACAGAATTTCAAGTGTGAGAATGGCTTAAACAGGGATAATGTGAAGTCCTTAAAGAAGTTTGAGCCAAGGATGAAGCCCACAAGTTGTTTTGGAAAATTATGCTCTTCTGGAGTGTTCCACGATGGCTCAAATATTAGGAATAACTTATGATTCTATCTCTTCCCTAAAGAAACCCTGCAACCTAAATCTCTTATCATTTTTTCTTTTAGATTGAGAGGCCACAAGTTATTCTAAAATAATAATAATAATAATAATAATAATAATAATAATAATAACAATAAGCCAGCAAATCCATGGTTTCTGCTCTGTGAACAAAGACTGCATTAAAACCAAGTGCTAGCCCAAAGAGATGGCTCATTCAGTAAAGGGATACCTTAGAATCATGAAGACCTGAGTTCAATCCCCAGTACCCACATAAAAGCTAGACATAGCAGTGTATGCTTATAATACACACTTTGGGGAGACAGAGATGGGGGGATTCACTGGAGCTTTTGGGCCAGCCAGCCTAAATGTGTTCAGAGAGAAACCCCATTTCAAAGGGAGAGTGATAGAAGACTGAACTTAACCTCTGACCTTCACATGCACAGGTGTCCCCCATAACCTCTCTCTCTCTTACACACATACACTCTCTCTCTCTTACACACACACACACACACACACACACACACACACACACACACACACACACACACACTTTAAAAGTTAAACTAGATACCAGGAGCACCAGATGCCAGGCCAGAGGCCAAGAAGGCTGGAGGCTAGAGTAGGTAGAGGGTACCCCTCCGATGTACACGTCTATGACAACTACACACTATGTCTGATGTGCCAAAGACACAGGAAAGGCCCTGAGAAAGTCTGGATGACCTCAGCAAGCTTTGTCTGAAATGTTCCCGCAGAGTCACCCATGTCCCTCACAGGTGCTATGCTAAAGCAGATGTCTCTGGTCAGTACCCGCAATGACAATGTAGGTTGTAGCTCCAGGGAATAAGTGTGGAGGAAGAGGAAAGGGCAGCTTAGGATGAGGAGTGTCTTGGAGGTGAGAGGTTGCAGCACTCCTCATCTGGACACGGGTTGTTTCAACCACGGGACAGGAACACCTCGACTGATCCTTCTCCAGGATTAAAATCCGTGTAGTGATCTGATGGTCAAACTGAAGAAGTCTGGGACTTGCTGTGCTGTCCCCAGAGCCTGGAGCACATGGTGGCAGACCTTATAATGTTTTGTTGGGTTTACCTCTTAGGACTTGTTACCCTCTCTGCAGCATTGTGAGATGGCTCACAGTTAGTATTAGACCCACCCCTGAAGCCTCCTTGCTGGCATCTGAAATGAGCTAGGAATTCCCCCGTGGTTCTCAGACACCTGCCAGGTTCTGTTCTGGTCAACAGAAGAGAGAGGGAAAAACAAAACATTCACTCTCCTTCCATGAGGATTTAACTCATCTGTGCTATTATTGTGTTCACATGTGCAGATACAGTTTTCCCCTAGAGGGAAATCATATGTAGTTTAAAATTTTAAAATTGCATCACCTTATTTATATTTATTTGCATGTATTTCTGTCTTTCCATTATCCATCTATCCATCCATCCATCTAACCATCCATCCATCCATCCATTTTGTGTGTGTGTGTGTGTGTGTGTACATACCACAGTACACAAGTAAGTAGAGGTCAGAGAACAACTTACAAGAGTTTTTGCCTCCTACCATGTGGACCCTTGGAATTGAACTTAGGGTCAATAAGTTTGTTGGCATGTGCCTTTGCCCACTGAACCATCTTGGTGGCCCTAAATGTCCTTTTTGTATTCACATGGGGGACTGAGTCTGGGGCCTGATGTCCAGAGGCAGTACTTTACCACTGAACTTCTTGCCTAGCCTGTTTAAATATTTTCAAACTTTCCTGTTTTTAACAGTCATCAATTCCCTGGAGCCCTTATGCATAAATTACGGAGACATCCTCATTTTTTACATGCACTGTGGGATGTTTAGCCTTTTATCGTCATGTTTCCCTGACTGTTTTAAGGTACAGGTTTTAAGATCCTAGACTAGACCAAGGTGCAGAGGAAAGAGATGAGTCTTGACTCCTTTTTGAGGTGGCCTCAGCTCTGCCAGGTGTTGGGCTACAGTGGGATGTCAGATCCCAAGCTGTGAGGGGCCCAACACCTGCCTCTAATTCAGTTACCCCTGATTTGAATTGCACTGTGTCTTCTGGGCTCCCATATACATCTGGATTCATCCTGTATCTTGTTTTTAGGAAGCCAGACTTACCTGCTCCCCATAGACACATTCTGGGAGTGTTCCCAGTCTCCATTTCCCCTCTGCATAGTGGAGGGAATGAACATGTTCCTTCCAGCTCTTGTGGGATTGAGAGGGAGGCACCCGCTGTGCTAGGTGGTCCTTGTCAGCTGGGTGGGTGGGGCAGGTAGCATCCTCAACAGCTTGTACTTGTTTAAGGAGCACTCTTTCCTGCCAGCCTGGTCCCACTACCACATCAGCCCCAAATGAACACTCAGAGACTTATATTAATTATAATACTGTTAGCCAATGGCTTGGGCTTCTTATTGGCTAGCTCTGTCTTAATTATTAACCCATAACTACTAATCTATGTATTTCTACATGGTCTTATCTTACTGGAGAATGCCTGACTCTTGTCCCCTCTTCCTGGGCTCATATGATGACTCCGCCTCTGCCTACATCACCCAGAATTCTCCTTGTCTCCTAGTCCAACCTATCTTCCTGCATGACCAACCAGTGTTTTATTCATCAACCAATAAGGAAAACATATACAGAAGGACATGCCCCATCATGTTTGCCTCTTAGAATGTCATCTTTGTTTTCCTCTCCTACTCTGATCTTCCCACAGATGTGTCCAGGTGTGTGGCTGAGAGGAAGTATACCCAGGAGCAGGCCCGGAAGGAGTTCCAGCAAGTGTTCATCCCAGAATGCAATGATGATGGCACCTATAGTCAGGTGACTCACGCTGCTGGGATAAGTCTGAGCCTGGGCTATTGTGGCTGAGGTACCAGGGATAGGGAGGGTGAAGGGGTAGGAGCCTGAGCTGCTGAGTGGGAAATAGTTATCTTGTTCTGAGATGCTGGGCTCAGGATCCTTACAGTGTAACTAGGTACATGAGATGTAGATGTCTACACCACAACTATGTCATGTGCATCCTTGGGCTGCATAAATATGGCATGGTCAGTTCTGTCATTGAGGCTCATCAGCCCTGGTCAACTGGCTGAGCTCTGGCTTCAGTTGTAGCTTAGCTCATGCATGAACTCCATGACTCAGCCATCCCACTGAGTCTACACTTGGATGCTGCTACCTCAAGTCATGGCTTGCCTATGGTCATGTTGGCCAAACTAAGTGTCAAAGATAGCTTGGTTCTGAATGACAGAGTCAGTACTGTTATTGAGAGAAAGGGGGGATGGGGAGGGGGAGAGGAGGAGGGGAACAGGGGGAGGGGAATAGGAGGAGAAGGCGAGAGAGAGAGAGAGAGAGAGAGAGAGAGAGAGAGAGAGAGACATGTG